ACATGTGTGTTTAGTCACACTAATACCTATTAAGAGCGATACATTAATAATAATTTATACCTAAATACAATAATTATTTTTTGCCAATACAACATCTCATGGCAGTTAATACTTTTTAAGTCTGGCCCATTGCCCATAATCGTGACCATAACCTATATAACTTTTATATTACTAAACATCGCGTGTCAAATCCCTTTTTATTTGTGTTGTGATACTGCAGAGACAAAACTTGTAGTAACTACGTATCTGACTATCTGCAGAGTCAAATGTCCATAATAATTCCATATCGCATCCAAACAAGTTCCTTAAGTTCTTATGCAACTAAAGTTCAACAACCTTGAAGCAAATTAAGATAAATATGCATTTAAAGAAAGGTTTCACAATGTTTTGACCCTTATCTTGTGCGTAATACAAATTTATTCTATTGAATATGTCTCGAGTTTAGTTGTCGGTAACCTCTTTAAAGGGCGTTCAACGTTCATCCAACTTCGTACTAGCTGAGGTAATTACTCTTTTGAGGCTCGAAGCTTCGGGTGAAAGGACCTGAAAATATTAGGACCAACAGGACGTTTTCTCCAATATGCTAGGTAGATATATTTAGCATTTAATACAATTATTTTTAGATTACAGATTCTTTGCTTTGTTATACTTCAGCAGTAAAAAATACATGAGCGTGTATATGTATCAGTTAAAGTCAGTGTGTAAGTCGGCGATACATTTCACCAACCATGACGCGATGTTTAGTGATTTATGCGCGGTCCAGCAAAAGTATCGTATGGCACGAACAATGTAGGCGAGAGCGGGTCACGTCTCTAGATCGGGTTACCTGGCTGGTACTATGCACTCTCCTATTCATGTTCCGAAAAAAAAGTGTAGCTAACTCGATGTTTTTTAGGGCTGACGGAAACAAGCTATTTCAATGAAGAGACCAAAAAAAAAAACAAGTAACGTTATGTATTAAATTAATTTTATAAAAGTGTCTATGATTGGCTTGATTCTTTAAAATAAATATTTTTCTTCCTTGTGTTACTAACTTTTTCTAAATAAAATATCCATTGTCAAAGTATGCAACTCTTGGCAATGAAAGGGCTAGATCTATGCTATGACTATTTGTAGTAGCAATATTGAGAAATAACATATGTGCCAGCCCTACATTGATAGAGCCTATTGTTCGTCTTCAGTACCCCGGTTTTGTGTCCCCGTAAACCTGTTTGGAAGGTAGTTGCTATGCTTCCAATTGTAGGTACTTACATCGTGGTACAACACCAGCGGAAGTTTTGGTACAATCTTTTCTGTCCAGGTATATTTTCTTGTTGTTTGTAAGTGCAAGGCTTGGTACTATTAATAAAGTATATACTTCTTCAGCTAATTGTACTGAAACAGTAGTATAATTAAATGATTATTTTGTTTAAAATACATGTACACACAACAGTAATGTGTAATTTAAATTAGCACTACTATGAATTATGCATTTTTAACCGGATATGTTATCATCATGATTTGCGGACGTACAACCCGCTTTTTCTGGTACATTGACCTCAAAAGATAATGCGAGATATGAACGGAACCATAGCGAAAATGTTCTAATAACTATAATGTCGCATCCAACACTAGCTACTTCCTGTCGTCGCTTCCTTAACTCGTCGAGTACCGGTTTTGTAGACACAATTATAGAACAATAGGTTGCGGTCACCGGTGACCGCTTGGTATTTGACAGTTTAATGTCTTTTTGTTGTTTGAAATTTCTTTTTGGTGTAAAAAGTGCCATTTACCCTACTTGGATTTAAATGGACTCTTAATATTGTGTATTTATTATTAAAATGTCTTCTGGTTCAAATAAAGTTTGCTATAATATTCAAAACATTTTCAGAAATTCTAGCTGTATTAATAGGTTATTTTGTTTTTAAGAAGTACAGAATTTTACATCGAAAATATTCAATTAAATTACTACCCATATTATGGGGTAATTTAAAACGAATACCGTCACTGGTCAGTGCAAGTGACGCTGGGTGCCGACACCACCGGTCACTGCACGCATAAGTTCCAGTAGAAGCGAGTTGCGTTCGATTACTTCCTAGTAGTTTCGCTTCCCCATGCCCACGGCGGTGATAGAAGATGAAAGTGCATTCTAGATAATGAGTGTAGTTTTTACATAGCATTTAATTTTACTGTGAATACTTATATTATAGTTCTAGCGAAAGTCACAAAAATGAAACCTTTTTATTACACGTCTTTAGTTTACTTCGCGAAATAATGATTTTAATCCATTTTTGTCACCGGCTGACCTTGCATCAGGGGTACTCAACCGACACGGCTTGAACTTAGACCGTCTGAGGCTCAAGGTCTAGAAAGTTGGTCCTAACAACAGTACATTCACCCACAACCCTAGAGTCCTTTGCCAAGAAATTTCTATTACATTGGACTGTAAGGGTATTATATTGCGGTTAATCTGTTAGTAGTGACCCTTATAATTCATTCTGTTTGAAAGTCGTTTTGCAACGATTTTGATTTTTGGCTTGATTGTGTCAACGTAAAGTCATTTAGTTAGCTGTAGGAAGCATGTCGTATTTATAAATACCATCGATGCCGTGTGTTAGAGTGATTGATGTCAACGCTTCCGAGTTTGTTTATAATACGATATTACGTCATAAACAATGGTATTCCCTAGCACATCTTGGAAATAAAACATGGAGTATCATTCGTTAACAATATTCGTACTTGGATATTGTTTCAATTACAGCTGTAATGGTAATCCTCATATTGGACGCCAGGAATAAAGGCTTGCAGTGGTTGCATTGAAGTTGCACTCAATATTTCTGTCTCTTTTTGTAACGAGTGGATAGGGTGAGGGAGGGAAATAGAAATAAACGAAGGCTTCGCCGCCCAAGCATGGAGCCGCCCGCCCGCCCAGTCGCTACCAGAGTGCCGCCCTGGATACACCGCGACGCTTTAATCGAACAATTCGCTTTTAATGCCAATGCACTATACTGGCTATATTATGAATTAAAAAAAATATGGTGATATATTATACTGTGATACGCCTGGATAGACCACTTATGGATCGGTAAGTTTAATAATTGAACTAAGTTTAATTTTAGCACTATGTTCGGTAAATTATATTTTTAGTAACTGGAATATTATAAGTGTGGGATACCTACACTCATGTAAAGTCCTTATAAAGTTAAATATTGCTGAACACGTACTGTTTTATTGTAAAACCTGGTTTTGTCGTCAATATAATGAAAGTTTGCTATCTATATTTTTATGAGTATATATTTTAACTGTTCAAATATAGCTTTTGTGTCTGTGAAACAATATCTCATACGTAATAGTGTATAATGTGTCGAATTTATGTCATCAGCCATATCATTTCACACTTCGTTTAAAGTATTTCATATACGTATATTGTGGGTCAGGCGCAACAACCTTTGCTTCAAAATTTCACGGCTGTGATTTTATTATGACATGCAATCTCTTCGTAATCCTTTATTAGTTTTACCTTTAGTAAAAATAGATTTATCTTGCAATACGGCTGCGATTACCGTGTTTTTTCGATTTAATTATCCATCCCTGATACTTTGATAATACCAGTTGAAATATCGATAAAATATTTCCATGTTTATTTATACAATTTAATTTATTATATTATCGATGAATATTTACTGATTTGGTAATAGTTTAATGTTTTATTCAGCGTTAAAATATTATAAAGTCAATAAAGTCGACTTTCTTGCTCTGGGCAAATGCTATTTTAGTCTCGTCCTGGAATAACAATGGATCTGTAGCGTTTAGTTTAGTTCTGTATTTTTAAACTATACATAATAGGTTTCCGTGAGACAAAAGAATTTGTTCTGTGAGGGGAAGAGTAGTTTTTCCAAGGTTTTTCCTCTCGTGTCATCGTCACGCACTCTGTCGCCGGATGACGCTCCTCAGCCGTCGATTGTTGTTCAGAGGAAAGGGGTGACACCCTCCCACGCACGCATCTTCATTCAAGTGGAAGCTGAGTTAGTCATACACTTTGTGCTGTCTAATGTACATGATGGTAGTGACATCTTTTTCATTTCAATGGTTTGTGAAAATTATGCAAATAAGGCAAACACTCGCGTCACAGTTACATACTAATAGGCGTTTATAGAAAGTTAAGTTACTTTCTTGCTAATTTGTAAAATACCAAATAAAGTATGCGACATGTTAAAAAGTGAACTAACAACAGTAACATAGTAAACGTAAATTGATAAACATTACGTACTGCAAACTGTCATTAGTCATTCATACTTATTAAATCATTAGAAAGTATATAAAACCTTTGCTACACACGTTTTCAATTATAAGCAACAATGCCGTAATATTATACAATTACCTTGTCCATACCACATGCATTATATTTGTAGACGCAAGTATCACATAACCCTTCCGTTTTAAACCCCTACGACTGCTCGAAATTACCCCACGTAATTATTATGGGACTCCGTGTAGGGCGCGGTTTTTTCTCGACAAGATATTTCGCAATGGGTTTACTTACTTTAGGGTACTTACGTCAAATAAGAATTTGACGTAAGAATATTATGTTATTGAAATGCACTTGGTCGTGCTTGCCATATATACGATTTTGGTGGAGTTATAATGCAATTATTTCACGCGATATGTCCTATACATTTTTAGAAAAAGCCTTTTGAAAACGAGAAAAGCATAATTATGTCCGTCTCGGCGTCTCATAATTACAATATACCTATTATTGATTTTCACGAACAAACCAAGGTCTCGTAAGGGACTCGAGGTGGGGATATTTATATTCATAAATCCATGATCGGATCACTCAGTTCATAAAGGAATAAACATAACATTGAGTAATCTTTTGGAATTTGTTTTCCTTTAAAGAAAACATCACCTGAAGTTTCCTTTTAATCATCTAAATCAGATTATGCCTCTAGGAAAATGGTTTTAATCTTTTATATCTATATCAGGGTAATATTTTTAATACGTTTATCTGTTTATTGCAGTTTACGGCTTGGGTGGACGCTGTAATCTTCGTGTTCAGCTTGGACAACGAGATCAGCTATAATACGGTGTCGAACTACTTCAATAAAATGTCCCATTACAGAAATTCCGCTGAGATTCCGATCATATTGGTCGGAACCCAAGGTGAGTTTATTAATTTTTTCACCTTCTTTTAGATATTGCACTGTCGTCATTATCTAATCACACAATTCTATTAAATTTATCTGCAGTATTAGTGACGTTATGTTTTTTTAATGATAAGTAATATTTCTTTGTAAATTGGTAGTCGTAGTTTTGGATTTACAGAAATGTATTAGGTTATGAAAACTGAAACATTTACTTCCTGTTTTGTGCTCAGCCAAGTTCATATCTGGCACTGGCAACCATGATCTGTGTGTTAACGTAAATTAATTACTGAAATTGTAATTTGTTTACCAATCAAAGAAAAATATTACATATTTGATTAACATAATTACGTACACGCGTCCGATACACTATTTCCTGTTAAATCAATGATTGGTTGCTCTTCCAGATGCCATAAGTGAAAGTAGTCCACGCGTGGTAGACGACAATCGTGCTCGCAAGTTATCGAATGAGCTACGAAGATGTTCTTACTATGAAACTTGTGCTACGTACGGTCTGAACGTGGAACGAGTCTTCCAAGACGGTAAGTGTAACGATTTTAAACGAACATCGAATATTTATGCCGGATGATGTCAGCTTACGCGGTTTTTTCTACAACACTGTTTTTGGAATGTTTCTACCGTTGTTAATTTACATAACAGAATTGTTATTTGCTTTGATAGAATTTGTTTTTGCTAATGTGAAGGTATCTATGTTCTATCAGATGTTTATTTATAAATTAAACATAGTATTCGGTGTGGCACTAAATCCTGTTCTCTAAGATTTAACATTCAAAGCAGATAATAATATGCAGATTTTGCTTTCTTAATGATTACTTAATAAGTTATTCGATATCTAGAAGAACAATGTAGTATTTATGACTTTTGAAACAATTACGGTTATTATTTGTACCTACTAGAATCATTATTATTGGTTGTACTTGTATACATATTTATTATCATTCAGGTACATGTGTCACAAAATGTTTGGCCGATATAACTACACGTGAAAATTTTATCAATTTGATATTAATCTACTTATCTGGTAGTTATCTGTTTGCTCCACATAGGAGAAGAATTCTGTCAATGTTCGTTAATTATATCAATCGTATCTGTTATTTATTGATCGAGACTGATAGAGAGTTATAAAATTACATAATAGACATTTTTTAGTCGTACCGTCTCGCGTGATGCTAAGATGTGATGAGACTACAAGCGCACTTATTAACTAGTCTGTGGATCTCGTTTCGCTTGCGGGGTGTTGTAGCGCAGGCAGTGGCAACACCGGCCTCCAGCCGCGCGGTCGTTTAGTTCGTTCTCGTTCGTTCGTTGCCGCGACATTGCATTGTTTACATTTTTTTGACGTTTTTCAAGCGTCGTTTGTGTGATTATTGCGTTTGTTTTCTATTTTATCCTGAATGGAAGGATGGAGAGAACACTCATTTTTAAGTCTAACATGTCGCCTATATCGAGTTTGAGGCGTCGGAGTTCGTGCTACAACATACAAAGAGCGGAGGAACGCGATCGTAGGAAATCGTCTAAATTTGAATGTGCGTGAAATGTTATTGTTCGATAAACCGTTTAGATCTAGTTGTCGTGATTTTTGGATATCGGAATTGTGAAAGTTTTGAGTGTGGTGGTGAATAAATGAGTGATTGTTTTGTTTTGCAGCATGTCAGAAGATTGTGGGCACTAGATTGTCCGCCTCGTCGCAATGCTTGTCTGGAGGTTCCAGGCCTGTGACTCCACAGCCGTTAGTGAATTCGCCAAGCCACAACCATTCAACATTCCTGTACAAGGTATGTAATTGTTTTACTATTACTTCCTAGTGTTCGACTGTGTTTAGAATAACTTGGTTGCAGTCACGATATCGACATCTTACAAACTTTTTATTGCACAAAACTGCTTAAAAACTTGTTTCCATAAATAAACACCCAAAATACAAATAAAAATAGTTTAAGCCTGCCTACTGAGTTAGTAAATGTGCCACCTATTTATAGTTAGGACTTAAGTGAAACTTGCACATGTTACTTTCTATTATTCCTTTCTCAAAAGGATATTACACAATATGATACTATTATTGTTTATAATTTTATCACAACTGTTAGTATAACATCAGTTATAACTATACTGTACTAACAAGTACCTACATGCTTTACAATTATGTACAATGATAGAATTTAATAACATCAGACCATAGAGGCCATGAACTACACAATGTGTTACACTTTAGAACACATGCCTGTGTCTCAATGACAAATTAAAAAAACAACAAGTTTATTTTTTCTTTGAACATAACATGTGGCATCAAATAACAGCAAGGACAGAATTTGTATTTACAATATTGTATTTCTGTTAGTTTTTTCTCTAATAAATTAATTACATGAAAATTGTAGAAATATAAAAATAAATCTTTTAAATCACTTTCATAAAAGTAAATACCTAGAATCTAAGTAGGCACCATGAGAAATGTTTGGTACACATAAAAACAGTGTGTTTTAAGTAGTACCTATTTAAAATATTAACATAATTTAGCATTTTAAATAGATGTAAGATGTAAGTTAAAACATATTCTTGAATTCAAATTGTAATGTGAGGCATAGTTTCTGTTCTAACTAAGTAGTTTATTTTGTAACAGAACACAAAACCTCATGTCACAATTCTATTACAAAGATAAATTATAAATATAATAAGTAAAAAAACCAGTTCAACGCCATAAACAATGATTCACGGACATCTTATCATAATTCTTAATAAATGACAGATTACAAATAAAACTGATAACTTTTTAATATCATTGCAAAACATAAGTTGCAAACATAAGATTTGTAAGGAAAAGTATATATTTTCCTTTCTTTGTGTCCTTCATTGCACAAGAATTCTATATCTTAGTTATGATTTCATTAATCAATGAAATTACTGTCCACTGTTGAGTCATGGATCTCATGGACAATTTAATATTAGAGTCATAAGGACCATGAGACAGCAATTATTGTTTTATGGTGCTTAAGACTATATTTTTATTCAAATTTTATTAAGAATCATCTGCTGACTAAGATCAATACTAGTTTGCCCAAGTCCTGTAAAAGGCTATATGATTTTTTATTAATTTTGTGATAAAAAATATATATTATAATGTTGGTCACTTTATCGACTATAGCTTATTGATATAATGTTTTGATTTGTTTATCAATATAGTGGTTTATTCTACATAACTACTAATCAATTAGAGATATAGGTTTTATAGTTTTCGATAATACAACAGTAATTCGAACAATCCATGTTTCAAGTATTGAAACCTTATCAGTCTCTAAAGATTTGAAAAAGGGGAACACTTCAAGTTGCATCCACCTACCATAAACTTTCATGAATCTGTATAACAATAGTTGTAGTTCTATTAACAGTAATTTGATACTTAGACAATTATATTCATGGTTCATTAGTTCCACTTAAAACTTTAATTATATGCTCTACTGGCAGTCCAAATGCCGGATTTTTGTGAAATGATTATGTACTACCTACTTAACTTTAAGCATTATTTAGAACTACATACCTATTGGTTACTATTTATCATCAGTGCCATTCTATAGTAAAGGCTGTATGACTTATTTGTCATCACCATCAATCACTGCTGCAAAAAGAACCTTTATCTTAAGAAGTAGTGTGCATTATCCTGAAGCATAATAGGCTATTTGAGTATTCTAGTCAGTAACCCACCCCCTTAGTATCTGATCACAATGTAAGGCGATAAATTTTAGAATTACACCAGTAACGAAATTAGGTATATAGAAATATAGTGGAATTAGGTATATGAAAAAGACTATCTAGCACATACATAATTCAAACAAACTCAAGAAAAAAATGTTAAAAGATTGCACTATTGACTGAGCATTGACTCCTCTCTCTCTCTGTAACATATTTGTGGAATTTATAGCTTTAAATAAAAGTGAGTGCCATATGATAATGACCATGTTGGATCTATATTAATTTGAGTAAAAAGCTGTTAGTTACTTTCTAGAACTTCATTCTTATGTTTCGAGCAGTAGTGTATGTGTAAAGAGTACTATGTTTTTCATAGTCCATTAATTTGGAAAAGATAAACCTTTTTTTAGAATGAAAGTACCTAATTATCAGTGGTTATTATCATTAGTGCTATCTGGATAATCTGAACGACAACTATATATAATGGAGGTGGATGTTCATGTACTATATGTTTATTACTGGAGTAATATCTTATCATAATCCAGTACTTATGACATTGAGTGCTGTTCCTATTTTAGGTTGGTGTAAGTCGGACGGTAGGATAACAAAGAGAATGCATTATTGTGTGATCCATAACAAGTGTTCTATTTTGTTTTTATTGAGTAATATAATAGCTAATGTGTTAATGTTGTCTCAATAGTGATAACAAAGGAAAGAAAGGAATTGTATAAATTGTAACATAATCTGCAAAGTTCATTTACTGAGATGTTGTTTTATTTGTTATTGTTTTAGGAAACTCATATTATGCCTTCTACTTCTACTACAACAACTAAAAAGGTCAACATGTACAGATTTGTAAGTGTTTTTTGGATCTCCCTCTAAGAGTGGTGTTTCTCCTGTCCTAAAAGGTCTCAGTTACCGAAGTTCCTTATATGTACTTGAGCATTTTGCTGCTGAACCTTAATTTTAGAACTCTTACTTTTAATTTTCCCTCTATAAGTGATGTTTACCTCCCCCAAAAGGACTTACTGACAATTCTATGTCGTTTTGCATTTTGCTGCCCAACCTCAGTCTTGTATTGCTCTGCTCGTTCCAACCAAGTTTTCCTAATTAATTATTTATCAACTGTTTATTAGGTATTAGCATTTATCAATATTCATACTTTTATGTAATGATTGTCCATGAAAACTATAATCGTTATGATAATTCCCTGATAATATTATCAATAGATACCTAAATAGAATAAGTATTTCTCTTCGGAATTCCCAAAAAAACATCTCTGTTATAAAATTAATCATCCTGATTACTTGGATATAATAATAAAAAAGCAATTAGTACAGTGCTTACCTAAATAAATCACTTAAGGAAAAAAAAGTAACAGATAAATTGTTTTTTCTGCAAGAGATAAACCAATAGTCTTCAAGGCCCGAGTGAATAGGTTGCTTATGGGACAACGTGCTCCATCGTAGACCGCATCATCGCTTACCACTACTTAAACGTCGGCCCATCAAATTAAAAAAAAACCAATATCACTATATCTATTTAATATCACTTTTTTTACAGTGTATAAAAAAGTACATGATGCAATGAATGTAATAGAAAACGATGCGATTTTTGCCTGGAATGTCTTACTTAAATATTAATGTTCCAGTTAATAAATACATAAGTAGTTAGGTACTAACAGAAGCAAACTTGTACCAAGAAAGTATAATCATAATAACTAAAATACTACATGCATATTACCCATTTATTTTATACTCTACTAATATCAAGAAATACCTCGACAACAGAAACTCATAGTTACTAAGACGATGCTCATTACAATTATGATAATATCTATCTAATCACATGATATCAGTGTAATCTCATTGCGTAACAATAATTATGTAGGTGACTGTACCACTTCGGGCCAAGAGTGAAAGCCCCCAATTTCCTCTAACACACGTAATCTTCAATAATCTATTCGTTTTTTTAGTATAATTTTTGCTAAAACACATTTGTCAAGTCATTTTTTAAGTAGGTTGTATATTCATACGTAATCTGATAAAATATTGATTTTGCATGTTTAAAAAGAACTGGTTTATATGAATTGGTGCTGTTCTGACGATGTGCGCAGTATCTAGTTTGCTAGCTATTTTTTTCTATTGTTTCTTACGTATGTGGTATTTGTAAGCGCTTGTTAGGTTAACACCGTGGGTATTTTTTATGTAGGCAAATCCCGACGGTCGATGTTTATTACCTCTGACTATGGTCTTTGAGTTTGTTTGAGTGTTTCTTCTCATACCTGGTTGGGAAATGTCGTGTTAATCTAGCTATAGTTTAATATGTTGAAGTATGTACGGTAAAACGAGGTGAATAGAATTCGAGGGCTGAATAAATATTAAGAAAATGTTCTAATATTTTCACCGCATTCCTATATCTATTCACCCCTCGAATTCTATTCACCCCGTTTTACGGTATATAGGTACTTATAGGTCTATCTCAATGTTTTGAAGTGTATTTTTTTACAAATTATACAAAACGTAAAACCTTACCTACCTATACTAAAATAAGTAGGTACAGTTGCTTACAAAACAAGTTAGGTACAAAAAGTTGTTTAAAAATATATATTATGCTTTTTAAATAAACTTTTTTTTATTTTACTTGTAATATTTTTTTATAGTTAATTACAATCTTTGCATTTTAAATGTATACCCTTTTGATGAATGCCACTTTTTGTCTTATTATTAGTTTTTCATCAATATTTTTTTTAAAGGATAACTATTTATGTCTAAATAATTTATTATCTATTAAAGTGTGTCTTAAAATTTATGGCGCATAAATCAAATAAAACTGATAGGATGGAGTTTATGAACAAATAATTAATTGTCATTTCGTGAACCAGGCCTCCTTAAAAGATTCAAGGCCAATGAAGGAATGTAGATAGATACAAATCTTGTTTTGAACATGTAAATCTTAAGTTTTTGGAATGTTTTTATCTTTTATGCTATCTATGGTAAGACTGTGACTAACATTTGTGTAGATAACATAACATCGCGCCTTTTATCCCCGAAGAGGAAGGCACATTACGGCACTTAATGCCACTGTACAATGTTACACCCATATCATTTGTTTAGATATTACCTACTTATTTTATTTGTTGAAAGAGGTCGATAGAAAATAGTATCATTAGAAAACAGACATAACACAGCTATATGTATGTATATCGTCATTCACATATAATATCTAATAATGCTTTACTTCCGCGTTCTTAGCTGCCCTTCAGATCCAATATTTATAAATAACTGACCCAATTATAGGTAGGCGCCTACTTATCTCATGGCCTATTGTTTAAAAAACAAAGATAATGGACATGGACACCATTAAACTAAATACAATTCAAATAAAAGAATACTCTGTGTTATAGACAAGTTCTTATGTGTTTTACTCTATCTCTCTTATTCCAAAAGATATTTGATTTACTTATTTCTACACCTTATCCGAAATGTTTCGAAATAGGCCTACAGTTGAATAGATTTATCTTAGTTCCTGAAACTACATAAAAAAATAAGCAAAGCTACAAACAAATTTGCGACGCATGCATACTGCATGCACCTTTTAGCATAATATAGCTCCGCATCCGCTTAAAATTATAATCAGATACAATGCAATGTAATTGAATCGATCCCAATATATTGAAGGATCTCAATGATGTTCACTGCCCAAAATAGGTCAACAATAACCCATTGTCCTACATTTGTTACTTTACGTCATAGTTGCTACTGCGTCGGTGTGATTCATATAATGCATTGTAAATGTGCATCTTATTATATGTGTAAAAATGTTTGGTAATTAATTAAGATGTTCCGGCTGTCGCGGTGTAGGCATTTATTTATTTGATGTCGTTTGGGTAGGCAATTGTGAATGTTTTGGACTTCCTTGACCTTTTTCGGACTTCCTCGAACATTTTCGAGCTCAAACAGAGCCGTTGGTTAAGATTTTGTTACTTGCATGGTTCAATTTTTGCCTGTTATCCCTTTTCTTACTCAATAGAAACACCTCACTATATAAAACTTACACGTAGTTGTTCAAGATAAAATTCGTTGAAAAAATTGCTCTCCCGAACAAAGCCACAGGCAAAACAATTTTAATCAAGATGCATTGTATAGGTCACGGTCATTCACACTATTAAAGGCCTTAATTGGTTGATATCGAGTGTTTAATAACGCCTTTAGATTTGGACGTGTCTGACTCAGTAATTGATTACCATATCTGTCGTAAGATTATTATTTTACCATTGAATAAATGGTGTTATCAACCTACACTTTGTTACTGAGTTTACGTTAAAGGCTTGTTGATAAGTTTAGTATTACTTGACATACATTCTGTATCGTTACCTTTGAATGATATAAGAATGCGAAAATGTAGGCGTAACTATTTGGAATGAATTTTTTTCCAAGGAATACAATATTTTTACAAGGAAATTAATAACCTAATTTTCTTTCGTTCCAGGACTCCCTACCACGCGGCCATCACACCCTATCAGCGTCGTCCCACCACCTGCACCGAGGCGCCCAATCTTTCGACGCCTCATCAAACAGCAGCGGTATTTCTTCAACGCACGTCGTCGAAATCCACAGCACGAATGGATCCGACACCTCCTCACGGTGGGGCAACTCCCTCGGCAGCCATGGCTCCTCATCAGGCCTCGTTTCCATAGCAACGGAGAATAACAACGTGAAGTTCACCGCTCCACACTGCCTTGACAACCTTCAACCTCCTAAGGATTCCAAGGATTTACCCACTCCATCTTCTACTCCTACAACGTCGAGGAAATCTCGAAGGAGATCGAATCTCTTTACTCCTTCCAAAAAGGGAGATGATAGGTTGAAGAATGGGGAGCTTGGCTCTGGTAGAGCGATTCCTCTAAAGCAAGGATATCTGTACAAGAAGAGCAGCAAGGCTCTGAATAAGGAGTGGAAGAAGAAATATGTTACGCTCTGCGATGATGGCAGGTTGACTTACCACCCGAGCTTACATGTGAGTTTTAATGTAATTGTTCGAGATAGCATTTCAATATTTGCTTTGCAATTGAATTTGAATATTAGATAAGACTCAAGTTAAGTGATTTCTTGGTAGGCGGCAAAGTGCCTGCCATATTTAAATTATTTTTGTCATAAATATTTTAATATTTCCAGGACTATATGGAAGATGTGAACGGCAAGGAGATATCGTTACAGTACGTGACTGTGAAGGTGCCTGGTCAGAAGCCGAGGGGCTCAAAGTCCATCATCACCACCGTGCCGGGCTACAATGGATACAGCAGTCTCGATATACACGACAGTATTGGAGGACTGTCAATCGGTGAGTTTATACTTATTTTTATAATTTGAACCTAATTGTAACTGTGAATAGAGGTCTCTGTTATTCGCTGTCGTTAGTAAGGCTATTATGAATAATGTCTCCTGTGTAATTATTTTGTTCTGTTCCGTAAAACTGTCCTTTCTTTCGCTCTGTAGAACTCCACTGCTGAACATAGGCCTCAAAATTATTTAACATAACATCACGGCTTTTTTATCCCTGAAGGGGTAGGCAGAGGTGCACATTTCGGCACTTAATGCCACTGTACAATGTAACAAAATTATTTACTAACAAATAAATTCCTTTTTCCAGGCTACAAAGACAAACCAACCCGGGCGACGGACAAAGCCCTAATGTCTGCGTTCGACACCATGAAGGAGCCCGCGACGAGTCGACAGTCGCTTGCATCTGAGGTAGAAGTCGGCTCCACTAACGGACAGGACAAGGACACACCACATGTCAAGAAGAGGCATCGCCGGATGAAGAGCAGTGGCGTTAAGAAGGATGGGGATGAGGGTACGTTGCGTCTACATTATTCTTTTGTATAAACTTGGGTTAAATCAATTTTACAAAGTAACTTCAAAATGATTCGTTTAAAAAAATGTATCAAAACAATAACAATACTGGCTGACCTACTTCGGGTCATGAAATCGAAGATTTTTTTTATACTTGATATGTCGACGTTTGGTGTTTTAGAATATGTGGTACCTACCTAATATAACTACGGGAACAACGTATTAAGGTTTTTTTTAAGGGGGGAAAATTATCGAATGACTTCTCCCGCCTAGGCGAGGCGGGAGAGAGTGTCAGACTCTTACTGACTAAAAACCACCCCGTTCCTACTCCTGCACTTCGAGCCGGAGCCCCGGTAATCCGTTAAGTTTTCCGCGGCTCAACGAGATAATAATAAGGAGAACTAATCCTCGCATGTATATCTATAATAAGGAAATCATTCTGTATGTATACTACAAGTTATTCAGGAATTAACGCATAATGTCTTAAGAACATTCATAGGCAAGTCTAATTTGTAAAACAAAACAAACAAGTTATGAAATATTTTTTATTTGTTTACCTATAAAGCTGGTGATACAGTATTCATGCTATAATTTATAAGGACTCGTTTATTGACTATGCAAAGATATATTTATTTTGCTTATTACCTACAATAGTTAATAAAGGCGTAGTATTGAGGAATATTTATTGTTTTTTAAAGATATTTTTAATGTGTTGAGCGTTCTTTATTTATTTATAAGCACATGTATAATTTTATAGCACAAGCCAAAACATTATACAGTTAAACAATAAAAAATGTTACTAATTTATTATTTTACACTTATGTAATAGGTATCTTATATAAAAATTACAATAATTATAATTACTTAAAACTAATTCATCAGCCGTCTATCTCACAAAATCTTACATATTCATGACATACATCCTTCCATCTCGCTGCGAACAAATCACACTCTGGTGCGGATGCCAGGAAAGCATTGACCATCGTTAATGCTCGAACAAGCGGGCTTTATATTTTAGGAATTCTTTAACAATGAGTATTAAAGTGTTACCTTCCTTATCATCAGGCCTGAAGTCTATCTCTCAGTAGGTTAAACAGAGACGATATAATGGCACGAAATGCGTGCTCGCTCGTAGATAGAAGTGTTCCTAATTTAGGCTCTCGAATAAAAGACAGAATCTTTTGTTAACATTTTTATTTATTACAACTAATACAGTGGCGTGCACAGGGTTTTAGAACAGGGTAGGCAACATAATATTGTATTATGATTAAACTCATCGTAAATACATAACATAATTCAACTTATGAGGTTTTTAATCTTTCGTCAATTCTTTGTAACAGTGCCATCTCTCGTTGTTTTCGTGAAGTATTACATCAACTTATTGATTACTCTAACAACTTAAAAACATTAATATTCTATTTTTCTCTTTAGATTTGTAAAACTAATCTGTATAATTACCTACTCGAGATGCTGTATAACGATTAATCTAATTTATGTTATCAATTCAGTAGCAGTAACGAATTGTTCATTCTAAAAATTGTACTGAACTGGCGGCCTGTCCAGCCTTCTCACGTTTAATACAAGAATATTACGAATTCTTTACTATTTTAATTTAATTCTTCGAATTAATAAGTTTGGTTCATCTATTCAAGAGATATTATGATTTTAAGAACTTGGGTATGACTAATAGAAAAATCGAACCGAGCGCGGCCGGCTGCGGCCGAGCCGAGTAAGCGGTAGTACATTTTTTAGTATTATTAAACATTCATTTACCTAGCTTATTCTTCTTCATTTCATTTTATAATTAGTACATAACATATTACTTAAAGCTTCGTTATTTTTACTGACTGAGTTGCCGCGACGGGAAGCTCCGCGTAGGTACCTACTTATGTTACATAACCTAATCACATTAAAATAAAGTAACTTTCATAGAACTTACCAAGACAAGACTATCAGAAGAAAAACTCACACACAATCTAATCACTAAGCGATGGTCTGCGATAGTTTATAATTCTTTACCAACTTTTGTCAATACAAACTTCACAGTTCTTCGTATAACTTTGCAAAATCAATTAACAAATAAACAAACACAGTAATAAAATGTACTTATATAAATAGACAATTTTATACCGTTTACTACAAATTATTTGCGTAGAATTACTAATCGTATTCTAAATCAAATAACAAAATTATCCGAAAATCCACGCATCGCACGTAAACAAAAACAAAAAAATTGTCACGCGCGAGCGGCGTGAAGTTCGCTGCGAGGCGACCAATGAGTAAACCAAGACACGGAACGTGATTGGTCGGCACGCGGCGAACTCAATCACGAGTCGTCAGGCCGTGCCTGCAGGCAAGCTTCGCGACGATAAAATAAACGCGTCTGTGCACTACGCACACAATGACGTTCACCACTACACGCTTAAATTTATGAATGGTTTGCAGGCGACGGAACCGCGTGCCTGCCTCGCGCGTTAATGTTTACAGCTATATACGGTACGCCTGGCGAAATGCAACACGTATCGCGCGCCATCATTGTTGCTATACTATTTATTTTAGGCGTTCACAAATTTTATTATAATTATTATTTTAGTATTCTGTAGTAAAATTAAAATGTTTATATCTTTTATTACGTAGTGTTATTCACGGTATTTGTAAGGTAGGCAAAGCCTTTTTGCCTATATGGACTGCACGCCACTGAACTAATACAACATAATTTCTATTTTCAGAGGGTGAATACGCGACATCGTGTGAGTTTACGATAGTGAGCCTGGACGGCAAGCGATGGCGGTGGGAGGTGACGGGCGCGGCCGCGGGCGCGGCGGCCGCCGCCGAGCGGGACGCCTGGGTCGCCGCCGTCGAGGCTCAGATACTCGCCTCGCTGCAGGGACGGGTGAGTCCACATACATCTCATTAAATACTATGTTATTAGAGTAGGCTCTTGTTTCTACACAGTTTATCGAGAATTCCACAGAGTAAAATGTGACACACACGTTTTTCGCATATTTTTTGCAATCCAATTTAGTATGTGTCTAATTAATACTTACTTAGTTAAAGCAAATAGCGAATTAACAAAATACATTATACAATTTACAATTACAATTTACAAAATACATAATTATCCATCCCCAAATTTAACTGTTGTTCCTATACTCTGTATTCTTATGATTGACCTCGTAATTTAGCACTTAAATACTCTATGAATCCGTATAACTCTACCTAAAATGCTTTTAAAACTTATATACTTTTGTTTCACTAAAACAAGATCTGAATTACCTCGTTCGGTCCCCAGACGTCCCGGCAGCCGATGCCGACGGGCGCCAACTCGACGGGCGACGTGCGCGCCACGTACTACATCCGCCGCGTCCACGGAAACGACAAGTGCTGCGACTGCGGGGCCGCTGGTATGTCATATCTGGAACTCATAAAAATATTTTTAACTTATTAAAAACACAGGAAACTGAATTTGATCTCTAGTAGTCACCTAGACAGAGTTACTACTCAAAGAGCCATCAGACCACCACGGATGGCCCAACAAGGCTTATGCCGATTCGGAGTCGCGGAGAACTTAACGGTTACCGGGGCTCCGGCTCGAAGTGCAGGAGTAGGAACGGGGTGGTTTTTAGTCAGTAAGAGTCTGACACTCCCTCCCGCCTCACCCAGATGATTTTCCCCCCTTTATAAAAAAAGCCCTTGCTGGTAATATTGTGTTGCTGAAAATATTTGGTAGTCATGACAAGCCTTATTGCCAAGGAATAGGGTTCCGCGTTAAATCCCGAATTGAGATAAACTTCAGCTATGACATTGGTCATTTCAAAATTTCAAAGACTTAAAAAAAGTTATGACAATTTATAAATTGAATATGCATAATGCATAGTTTGTTCAAATATTTGACGCAGGTTTTTAGCAAAGATTTTGTATCGCGTATTTGTTCAGGTTCGGGTATCGAACTCCTGACCTTTGTCGCGGAATGTCAAGTTCATACCAGTTTTGGTAATGAGGTTGTTAAACTTTCTAAATACAATTGATAGATTTGATATCAAAGCGATAAATAAGGTTTTATTGCATGCTGTTTCCATTTTATTCTATGTTTGTATTGAAATGTTAAATGTTAAAGAATACCTTTAAGAAACGTACCTATACTTAAAGGTGTGGATTTTAAACAGTAGTAGGCAGAGATGCAAATAGGAGTGTAACATTTACTTTTAGTCAGTTTTAAATTATAATACCAGACTCCGTGCTATTATTAAGATTTTTTTTTACTCATAAACTCAACAATGCTGTCTGATCATACTCTCGGTTGGCAGTTGCACTGGCCGCAGTAGCCGCAGTGCAACTACAAAAAGTGTCAAGTATACATGATAAATGAAACACGAAATACATTGTTTTGAAAATATGTATGTCTTTTACAAGCTTGTAATTTTGTTACTTATTAAGGAGGTATTTTATGTTATTTATGTTGTAATTATACCTACGTCAAATAATAAACTAAAAGTTGTCTATTTTATTTCCAGACCCGGACTGGGCGAGCCTGAACCTAGGCGTGTTGATCTGCATCGAGTGCTCCGGCATCCACAGGAACCTCGGCTCGCATATATCGCGGGTACGATCCCTCGACCTTGATGAGTGGCCGTGAGTACCTGTTTATTATTATTTATACCCATTTTGGGTATTTTTTATTGGGTTTATTGGGTGTTTATTGGTACGGAGCCGCGGAGAACTTAACGGGTGTCCGGGGCTCCGGCTCGAAGTGCAGGAGTAGGAACAGGGGGGTATTTACTCATTAAGAGTCTGACTTTTCCTCCCGCCTCGCCCAGGCGGGATAAGTCATTCGATGATGTTCCCCCCTTAAAAAAAAAACCATTCTATGTATTAGGTTTAACGGGGGGCTTAATGGAACACACGATAGATTAACATAATGCAAATTATCATAAAAACTCGCTCAAGAAGGTGCGTTGCAGTTTTTGGCAGGTTTAGGCGATCAAAAAAGTTTCCCATAGGGTTCACTAACCATGTAATCATGAATTTTGAAGGCCTATTTAATTTATTGTTGTTTGTAGCGATTTATTTTCCCATTTTTGTTATAAAAGCACTCATGGTTATTCTGAGGTGGTTTTTTTGGGTGTTGTATCGCTTGTGATCTCTCTTTGAAGTTTGAAGAACAGGAATCTCTGTGAAAGAAAAACAAGGCAGCTCTTTTTGAGTTATAAAAGTCATTTGTATTTATCCTTTTTTCTCTTTAATTTCAGATTGAGCCACGTGAGTGTAATGGTGTCTTTGGGCAACGATCTCGCGAATTCAATATGGGAGGCTGATTTCAGAGGCCATGTCAAACCCATGGCTACATCTAGTCGAGAAGAGAAAGAAAGGTAAATATTGTTATGGTTACTCTTTGTGGTTTAATAATATTTTTGAAATATAAATACATTTTTATTGCATTAATGGCTGTTGTTTTGTTAACTATAGAACACCGGTAAAGAAGTTAAAGTTTGATAATGTGTTTGTATCTTCTTAGTTTTATGGCTTAATTGGCAGGTGATTGCTCGTCGACCGAGGGAATGAAGAACATCACATAATTATGATATGAACAGACATTTAGGACATGTTATCTTCTATATTCGGCGTGCTATTTTTTAGTTGACGATTGTTTAAATTCCTTTTAGCTTATAGGTACCAGTTTTGGTGCACTCGCACTATAAGTATTTAACATCGTTGAACTTACATTCCAGGTGGATAAGACTAAAGTACGAGCGGCGAGCGTTCCTGAGCTCGGAGGCGGTGGCGACGGGCGTGGAGGCGCTGCGTACTGCGGGCGCGCGGGGCGGGGTGTCCGCGCTGGCGCGCGCGCTGGCCGTGCCGGGCGGCCGCGGCCCCGCCCCGCACGACCGCGCGCTCGCCCTGCGCGCCGCCGCCGCCGCCGGACACCTCGCCGCCGCGCAACTGCTCATATGGGTACGTGTGCCACGTCAAATATAATTACACTTATTTATGGGTATACCGTAAACTATATAGCAACAAGGAAATTAATTTTAATGAAAAATAATGTAACACCCACTTTTCACTATTTATGTTATGAGTCCCATGTAATAGGGGGTGAGCCTATTTCCATATACCGGACATACATAATATAAATAGTGAAAAGTGAGTGTTACATTGTACAGTGGCATTAAGTGCTAAAATGTGCATACCCCTTCGGGGATAAAAAGGCGTGACGTTATGTAAAAAAATAATATACTTTTTCTTGTTGTCTTCTCAATTGAGTTACAGGTTTTAACTGGTAACTATGATCGAACTTTATTTATTATTTAACCAGCATCCTGAAACAATAAGTAATTTGACCTATTTCCATCCCCGTCCGCAGCACAACGGCAACCCGAACTACCCGGACGCGGACGGCCACACGTGCGTGTTCTACGCGCGCGCCGCCGCCAACCACCTGGCCGGCATCCCCACGCAGTACCCCACCAACTTACAGCTCACTTGTCCGCTGCATCCCGGTCGGGGCGGACACTCCTCCACGCCCAGCTCCGCCACCAACTCCACCAACTCCACCAGCTCCAACTCCAGCACCAAGAGCTCTCTAAAGAACCCCGAGCCAGAATGCAACTGCATCATCTTCGAGCTACTCAACGCTCAGAGTGCGAGCAAAGCCCTGGTGGAGCTCCTGATTGGTTTACAGAACAACCAATACATGAACGGCTACGACCACAACGGCAGTGTTGCCAGCTTCGCGCACAATACTCTAGGGCGGCCATCTTTGGGGCCCAACTTATCGCTAACGAATGGTAAGTGCGGCAGTGTAGTGTAAAGGTTTTTCTATCTAATTGTCGGTTTTGAATAAATTAATGTTGATATTGTGACTGAACGTTGTTACCGTTATGGTATATTTATACTCAATTCCGTGTGTGGTGCAGTTTTGTTAGATAGTTTTTTGTTAATTTATTAAATTGTGATCGAGTTTTGGTATTTGGAAAGATTGTATCTTAATAATGCAACCCAGTGACTTGTTTTTAGTTAAAATAACGTCAACCTTTCTGCATATAATATGATAAGATTATCCCTTAAATGCACCGATTAACAATAACTAAATACGATGTCGTATAAGATCTTACAAAACTGCATCTTGCATATTTTTTGTATAATACATGTAGTGTATTAATATGTAAAATGTATACATATTACACACGACTGACGGTACATTTGACGTAATCTCCGATTCATACATAGATTAAATAATATTTAAAAGATTTTTCTCGAAATTAGTTAAAAAATTACGTGTCTGTCAATTTAAAAAAGTTAATTAAATTAGAAAAATTGTTAGCGTAATTCAAATTTCGTATTTTTGCGGCTTAAAATACTTATTGGCAGCTCGAAAAGTGTTCAGTTGCAGGAACTCAAAAAGAATGAACGAAAATAATTCTTATGATAGATATCACAGAGTTCTAAATAATTTAAGCTTGATAATAAGTATTTTAAGCCAAATTAAAATATTTATTTCATTACGTATTACAGTTTAACATATCCGGTGTTAATAGTTCAAATTTTTTAATACAATATTTTTTTCTAGTGGCGTAGAGTAGGTACCAATTTGCATTTTAGGATCCCTTCATTTTCAAATTAATGTAGTAGAATAAAATTAAATGTACACACGAATTATCTTCTTCTACTTCAGTGATTTTCACATAGTTATTCATTTTCAATTATGATTGCAAAGCTGTCTATACTAATAATAAATATACAGAATAATTATTATGTTTTTCGGTCTACTTCCGTAACCGTTTGACGAGGAACTCGACTAGTTTTATGTCATACTAGAGGCAACAGTTAGTTAGTCGAAAAACGTAATAATTAATTTAGTATGTCTCACGAAAGTAATTTTACTATAAAAATATACACATTATTTTCTCTATAATAATGAACTGTATGTCTATAGATACAATAGTTATACCGAAATAATATAATAGCCAATATGCTGCAGGCATACGTAATTATATCTAGAAGGACTAGTCTACGTGGCGAGGATTTAGTACCAATTAAGTACCGTTTTTAACTTACTTGCGGCTTTTGCTGACGCGGATCTAACTTACAGATTTCTGTCAGCGGATTTGTGGACGCGGATGTAATTTTCGCGGACAGTGTCGTATGTCGTTGCAAGGATTTTGAAGGTTACGTGCGTGTTAGCAAAATACGTGTAGTTCAAGTTGTAGAATTGTAGGATTATAAAAATATAACAAATGTAACACGGACTGGGTTGATAAAACTATTGAGATGTAATCATTTTTAAAGTATAATTAATGTTAAATAATTATTAACTGTCCACAGCAGTCCATTAGTATGTATCCTATCATTATCATGGTAAAATACTAATGAGATAAGCCTCACATTAGTATTTTTGACTGCTTACAGTATCCTAACAGACAGAAAAGTGCTAACGGATATTAGTAATCCCATCACAGCGCCTATCATGTTGGCAACATTAGTTAAACAATATCGAATAGTTATATCAACCCCAGTTTGATAACAAAACCGGTACTTATAACCAAGTTTCCAATAAAGTCACAGTGTAGGATAGATGTTATACTAATCGTTTAGAAGCAAGATCTCAGCTCAATATAGGATAGTTAGTGGTAATTTCTCATGCTTTACCCTAGAGCCTTTGGTGTGAGTCTGTGAGCCTTTAACTGAATTATATTTCAATAGAAGAATAAGGAGATATTCATATATTGTTGAAGAATCGATTTTATTCATCTCGAATTAAAGTTCAATTTTAATTGTCACTGGTTCTCTACTTCTAGTTAAAGGTTTACAGATAAAAAACATTCCATTTGTAAATTACCCACCACATCAAAGGCTAAATAGTCGATGTGATATACTTAAGGTCTCCCTTAAACCAAAATGTACTGATCCTTCTGTGCCTACTTTTAGGTAGTACGCTTCAAGACTATAGGCCAGGAGCTCGACACTTGAAATATTTTACAATGCATCACAAGCTCCTGGACTATTGTCATAATTTCCAATTTGTAAAGTACTTCATTGTAATATCGCGTTTCTAGAAATATTTTTAGATGTTCGTGCTTTCCGTTTTTTTCATACAATTGAAGTTTTTTTGGCCTGAGAAAGGACTGATGTTTCGAATTTCAATTCTTGGATTGCACCAATCTTTTAAGTGTTGTTGTGCTCGATTTTGTAATCACTATTCATTATTACTGTTTAAATATTCGATTATAGTACTTTTTGCTAAATATGTTGGTGCAGTCCAGGTCTTAAGACAAAAAATCCCATGTTGCTCTCTGACCTTGAAAAATGAACGAATTTTGTGAAACTGCATTCATTCGTAATGTCAGTCTGACTCAGTATATGTTAGTGAAGATGATTTGTTTGCAATGGTACATGGCCTGCCGGGCCCCAAGATCATGAAGGCCAAATTGTCATCACCAAAAGATTCGATTACACAAGAATCACACTTATTACAACTAGGCTACGGTTCAGATTGTACATTTTGACTACTAAAGTGAGACAAGATTCTAGGCGATTCTCTAAGAGGGCTTTGTACAATTAATTCTAAAGTTTAATAATTACTTACCCTTTCGTTTTACTTAAATGTCTTGTAAATGTTACTTATCTAGGGAATGAATTCAATATAATTTTACGTGAGGTAAATAAGTTCTGTTTGTACATTTAGTAATTAAATCGTTTACCGACGCAGTATTCGACACATTTGTATAAAATCACATTAGAATTTTCTGGGCACATTGTATTTTAGTGTATTTTAAACATTATATTATTTTAGTCCTCTGTTGAAATTTTATTGATAATTTTAAATTATGTTATGTTGCGTTACATGATTCGCAAAATTATTAAGATTTTTAACGTTTTATTTTTTTTGTAAATTCTTTTAGAAGCCAAAGAGCTTAATTGTAAATATATCGTATTATGCAGCTATGCGTTTGTTAGCTGTGGATAATTCTTTCGTTATTGTAATTTTTAAGAGATCCGTTAACGTTTTTTCTTGTGAGAATAAAATGATAAGGACGTAATTTGTTTTTTTATTCACAATCCACATTACTTTTGCTATACTACCTACTCTTGGAATTATTCGAAAAACTAAGCAAATGGCGAATAAAAATGGCTACACTGAGTTGCACTCTCTTGTACGCTTTTGCTGACGCCAATGAGCCCGCCTGATGATAAGCGATCACCGTAGCTTATACAATATCCTACCAGTGCGTTGCGAGCAATGTAGCAAACTGATTTTGCCATCGTTTTGTAAGGTACATATTACCCACCTAAATGGAAGCCATGTCCATCTTGATGTTAAATACACCCACATGTCTACGTACTTAGAAACGAAGTCTAGTATCAAGGAAAATGGCGCGATATAGCTGATATTATGTGGCAATCAAAGTACTTACCAACGGAGCCGCGGAGGACTTAACGGGTGGCCGGAACTCCGGTTCAAAGGGTAAGTGCCCCGTACACTCGGGCCTGGTTCTGGTCAGGCGGCGAGTCACCCGTGCTCGCCGTCCGCAGGCCCGTGCTTACGGTGGCCGGAGATCTTCTCGCGATCCCCGACGCTCGGGTCGTGAGGAGGTTCGTTCCCTCACGCGCTCCGCCTCCTCCTTAGCTAGCATGTGCTACTAACGCCTAGAATTATGTAAGTACAGACAGTCAAGTAATCAGGTATATAATAATTATAATAATTCATTAACAAACGTTTAAAAAACCGACATTAACCCCCTCATTTTAATTTTAACCTTTCTGAAAACTGCATCGAAATCGGTTCAGCCAATCACGAAATAACATCACCTACGTACATACATACAGGTCAAACAAAGAACCTCTTTTGTTCGAAGTCGGTTACAAATATGGATCGGTGCAACACTGACGCAGTACCTACCACTGATTAGCTAATGTATGCAAGAGATTGAGTTTCATTAACAACATACAATTTTCAATGACCTGTAGTTTCTGTATATAATTAATCTTTTATTTTTATACATGCATATTAAATACCTTGGCCGACTGTACTCCAATTTAGAAATACCAGATGAATTGGCACAATAGGTACCTACATACCTTAATACGCACTACGTACGGAGTCCCCAAATCCACGGGATTATTAGATTTGGTAACGACGCAATCTGCTGTAGGGCAGAATCTTGTTAGCGTGATCAAGGTGTCCTCGAGTTCTTGGGCCAATTATTATTTATGGGGAGATGTGACGTGAATACTGTGGTATGAAATGGTAGTGGCATTGTAGGGTACTCGAACTACTCGATACTATATGATAGGTGATTTCAAATGGCCGTCAGGTTACTTTTAAGGAGATGCCTGTTTTGTATAATTTAAAACAAGTCTGTTGGCCGACTAGTCGACGGACAATTGAAACGGTTCCCAGGAATACATTTACTGGGTTTAAAAAATAACCTTAGTAGTAGCACGGAGTCTGGAATTGTGCCCGGTATATAGCAATGGGCTCACCGACTATAACATAGGACTCAGAACTGCAATAGTGAAAAGTGGGTGTCACATTGTACAGTGGTATTAAGTGTCCTAATGTGCACCTCTGCCTACCTCGTCTGGGATAAAAAGCATGATGATGTTTTATTAAAACAATAAGTCTAATACCTACTAGTCCTAATCCAACTATCCTCAAGTAATCAAGGCAGGTAACGCACTTGTACCTAACGCCTCTGGTGTTCCGGGTGTCCATGGGTGACGCCGACTGCTTACCATCAGGTGATCCGTCTGCTTGTTTACCGGCTTATCCTATAAAAAAATAGTAGCTCCGTTATGGTAAATAGTCACCTGGTTACCGTAGCTTAAGCACACCTATTGTATGACTTATCACAAGTGCTTGCAGACTATGTTTTATTGCACCATCGCACATCTCACGGTCGAGCCTGCTCTATGTGGTGATGTCTACGTACTAAGAAACGAAGTCTAGTACCAAGGAAAATGGTGCGATAAACCTAAAGATATTATGTGTGTAAAACCTAGACTGCACAGTTGGTGCGGTGGCTGGGCAACCGGCTGCCGTGCAACGTGTCGCGGGTTCGATTCCCGCACGGAACAACACTTTGTGTGATCCACAAATTGTTGTTTCAGGTCTGGGTGTCACTGTGTATGTGAACTTGTATGTTTCTAAACGCACCCACGACACAGGAGAGAAAATCCTAATGTGGGGCAACGTTTAAAAAACAAAAACAATTAAATACAAAACCCAAAGGTAGGAAGACTCACATTAAAGAATAGCAAAAAAGTACCTAAAACAAAAAATACAATACAATTTCCTCGAAAGGCTACAAAGAGTACAAATTGGATAATAAGCTGGAAGATTTGGTGCCTGAACGTGATACGTTTGCGTGAATACCAGAGAGATCAACTGGAGCAAATTATAAACGTTTATATTCAGCTGTCTTTGCGTTAAGGCACAAAGCGAAGGCATAACACGCTGGCTTATACGGCGTTCAAGCGAGAATATTCTGGATGGAAACATAGGCGATTGAAATTGTCAATTCCACGTCAATATGAAATAAATATAGTACCTCATAATTATCTTTTTTTTCTTATTATGATACAGCTTTACCACAATTAGGAGTCATAAGGATGTTATGTTTACTCATGGCAGCGGTGCGGGCTATTCTTTTTTGTAGTAAAAATACGTACAAAAAATGTACCTCTTTTCTTCCCCGAAGACCCAGTTTAATTCAAGACTTTTCGCTAGTTCCAGATGTAAAAATTATTAACCCCTATGTAGTTGAATAGTAGAGGGCGAGTGAGTAATAGTAATACCCACTTGGATATTGTCTGAGCCAGCCGGACTTGGAACTGGAACTGAACTTGCGACCTACGGAGCGGTTTACAGCTAGTAGCTACATAAAGGAATCTGGGTGCTTACTCTTGAAACCAATCTTAATGTCAATGCAATTTCAATCCAATAAAATCTCAATAATTATTATTCAATGTCAAAACTATACAACCCTATCGTAACTATTGAAATAGCATTCTCAATACAATTTAGTTCATTAAATATCCACGCAATGCGGATGCAATGGGTGCTAGTGATACAACTCAAGAGTACGAAATTACACAATACCAATCTCGATCGATCGGAATAGCATTCAAGAATAAGCCCCCAGTTCTTAAAATACACTTTTATTAACGACTATTTTCCAACTTAGATCCCGTGTTTTCCTTCCCAAGTAGGGAAGGAGTGAGATGTCGGAAGATATTTGATTGTGTTTGTGTGCACTGAGAGCCGTCACTCGCAGGTAACTCAGTTTGTGTTTTGCTTGCACACGGACTTTCGAGGAGACCAGTAGGAGTCTGCCGTACCTACGACAGTTAGAGGGGTGCTTGATATTATTGTAAGTTATAGCTAAATTTTCTTATTCAGATTATTATTGGTAGTGAAAACTTAATGGTTTCGTTACTTACATTATTGATTTTGATTTTGGAGAAGGAATAAAATACATAATGGTACCTAATGTTGTTTTTGAATATTACTTTTTTTTATAACCGAACAAATATTGAGCATAATTATCGAAAACCGAGTCTTTCGTTATCCTCTAGAGAAAGCCTGAAAAATCTATGTGTTAATTGATAAAATAGAAAGAAAGAAAGAAAGAAAAACCATTTATTCTTGCGCAAAACACACATAACATAATTAAAAATTAAAATAAAATAAAAGCTAAAAAAAAAAAAATTAAAATGAAGCGAAGTCTTGTCCATGGTCCACAGACTTATTATCATAGATTTATCTCTTATCATATCAGTGCTTATTATTTTACTGAAATCTAATATTATCTGTGGACCATAGACAAGGAACACCCTACTTCATATCTATTGACTAGTAAATAAATAATATATAACTAAATAAACATTAAACCGCTGAAACAATGTCTTCTAAAGACCAAAGGCTCAATGAAAACTAGGGACCAACTAAACAAACTTTCCTATCTCCACACTAAGGCCTACTGTCAAGATACAATCATAACATTATTATCCGGATTACACCCGGACGATCTCCGGTCAAATCGTCCGGATAATAAAGTACGTACTGGGAATGACAGGAACTGCTTCGGTATTAAATATAGCCCATTGTCCGTCCAAGGGCCAGGCACAGACCATTTCCTTGAGTAGATTCGTAGATATTTGACGTTGAAAATAGATTTTCATTTTGTTTTATTGCCTTACAGGGATAATGCTGTAGGAAGGAGAACGTGGATAGGATCACAGGAACAGAGGGCATTTATCTAAACTAAGTTTTGTGAAAGTAAGATTTGACGGAAAAACCTCTTAGATATCGAGTGGATCCAGCGAATTTTGAAAGAAACCGGATAAAATTGAAAAATTAATGCTTATTTATGATCAATTGATCACATTTAAAAAGATAAAAAAAGTATTTGAACTATTCAGATAGATTAAATCGTAAGTGACCCTTAGTTCAATAGTTTTTAAGGACCAAACACGATAGAAATCACATAACTCCCGTAGCTACTTACGAAAAGGCGATATAACAAAAACACCACTTTAAAGTTCTAATGGATTACTCAACTCAACATTTACTGCAGTCTAGATAATACATTATACAAGCACCCTTTCAGTTTCAAATAAAAGAGACGGATAACTGAATACCTTGCCTGGATACTGCGCAATCGAATTGGCATGACCCGATCAGCCAAACAATAGTCGAATCGGAACGGTCATTTACTTTCCTTGGCTTTTATTGAATTTCCATTATACCCTGGTTTCATTCAATCACTCAAGATCTGGAACTATATTCTGGATAATATTTTTCCAGATTATTTGTTTATTTTTTCCCTTTTTTCTCGTTTGCACTGCAAGCACTGTTGAACATGAGGTTTTTGGCGAAGACAGGACAAAGTTTTAATGGCTTTTTCCATTCCAAAGAACTCTGTGGAAGCATGGGGGTTTGAAATTGTGCCTGGTTATGACAAGAGTAAATAATTGGAGGAAAGGGGGCGTAGGTACTGTTCCGTAGACCTGAAAGTTTAGTCTGTTGACGACAAAA